CTCTGTTTGGCAACATACAGGATTCACCACCCGACGTAGCTGGTACGAAGACTCTCACCAGGTTTAAATCCCAGCCCAGGAACAGAATAACTGGAAATATTGTTGCCACCACAGTAACATCTAGGCACTTGTCTGAGAGAGTAAAGGAGCTAACATTGCCTCCAGGGAAGGAAAGGAAAGCTGGATGCCTTTGTTGTGCTCGTAGTCACCCGTTGGAAGAGTGCAAACAGTTCAGTGGAAGGAAGCACAAGGAAAAGATCTACTTTTTGAGTTTGCTTTGCATGTCTAGGTCATGGTCACATGAGCAGGGATTGTGACAGGCGCTTGACATGCCAAGTTTGTGGCCAAACTCATCCCACCGTGCTGCATATCAAAAGGCAAACAGCAGCTACAGTTAGAGGAGCTATCTAATAACCAGCCAACTTCTCAGGAAACATGGGGCCGGTAAGGACCAATGCGTTCTGTCCATTCTCCCTGTAAAGGTGAAATCTGCAAAGGGAAATTGCATCATAAACACCTATGCTTTTCTGGATCCTGGAAGTTCAGCCATGTTCTGCATGGAAGATCTAATGCAGAAGCTGAATGTTACAGGCAGAACTCCTTTCTTATTGCGCACTATGGGGCAAGAAACTGTTTTTCCAGCCTTCTTGTTGACTGATTTGGAGGTATCTGAACTGGACAGCAATGGCTTCTATATGCTCCCGGAGGTTCTCACGCAAAAGAAAATGCCAGTTACTTTGGATAACATGGTAACGCCTGAAGATCTGGCTAGCTGGCCGTACTTGTCAAAGGTACGCATCCCAAGCATAAAAGCAAATGTTGATCTCTTAATTGGAACCAATGCTCCCAAGGTATTAGAACCTTGGGAACAGGATATCTGTGGGTAAACTGGAAGAGATGCTGACTATTCAGTACAATCACGATTTCAATGAAAAGAATATGGAAGGGAAGGAAATGTCCAGAGAAGATCGCAAGTTTCTTGAAACTATGGAGCATTCGGCAGTACTTCAAGATGGAAAATATTGTTTGAAATTGCCCTTCAGGAACAAGGAAGTCTATCTCCCCAACAATTTTGCAGTGGCTAAGCAGAGGATCGAGGGTTTGAAGAAAAGGTTCATTAAAGATAAACACTTGCACCAGGAGTATACAGGATATATGAATAATCTCATTAGTAAGACCTATGCAGAGCAAGTACCTCAGCAGCAACAGCATTGTGAGAGAGGAAAAGTTTGGTATATTCCTCACCATGGTGTCCACCATTCGAGAAAAGTTTCCCTTCGTGTGGCGTTCGACTGTGGAGCCACTTGTAAAGGGGTCTCGCTAAATAGTGAGCTCTTGCAGGGTCCTAACCTCACCAGCTCGCTGCTAGGAGTTCTAACTCGCTTCAGACGGGAACCCGTGGCTTTCATGGGCGATATTCAAGCCATTTTCCACCAGGTGAGGGTGGCTGAGGGAGACAGAGACTTTCTGCGCTTTCTCTGGTGGCCAGATGGAGACATCAGTAAGGATTTTGTGGAGTTTAGAATGACGGTACACCTGTTTGGCGCAGTTTCGTCCACCAGTTGTGCAAGCTATGCACTGAGAAGAACTGCTGATGATAATAATTCTGAGTTTTCAGCTGAAATTCTTCAATGCGTTAAGCATAATTTTTATGTGGATGATTGCTTGAAGAGCTTAGCCACAGATGAAGAAGCTATCCAGATGGTAAGGGATCTAATTGCTCTGTGTCGAAAGGGAGGCCTTTTGGAGAAATGGATAAGCTACAGTCACATCGTCTTGCAAGCCATAGCCGAAGATCAGAGGGCTAAAGACCTTAAGGAGTTGGATCTAGACCGAGATAAATTTCCAGTAGAAAGAGCTTTGGGTCTACAATGGTGTGTGGAGACTGACCCTTTCTGGTTCAAAATGGAGATAAAACACAGCCTCTTACTAGACGGGGTATGTTGTCAGTTAACAGCTCAGTGTACGATCCGCTTGGGTTTCTGGCACCGGTCACTTTGCTTGCTAAATTGATGCAGCAAGAACTCTGTCGGAGACGTTGCTCATGGGGATGATGCTCTGCCACAGGACATCTTGCGCAAATGGGAAAGGTGGTTGAAAGACCTGGATCTGCTGACTGCCTTTAATGTGGATGGGTGCATTACGCCAGTAAATTTTGGAGAGGTCAGGCATGCGAAACTGCATCACTTTGCTGATGCCAGTGAAGGTGGATATGGGACTGTAACCTACATCCGGATGTTAAATCAGGAAAACAACATCCAGGTCACATTTCTGCTTGGTAAAGCCAGAGTGACACCACTGAAGGCCGTAACTGTTCCCCGACTTGAGTTGACAGCAGCTGTCCTTGCTGTCAGAGTGGACTCAATGTTAAAGGTGGAATTGGACTTGCAGTTGGAGGAGTCAGTATTCTGGACTGACAGCACTTCAGTGTTAAAGTACCTTAACAATGAGGACAGGCGCTTCCACACATTTGTGGCCAACAGAATCTCGACCATCAGAGAAATATCTGAACCCTCACAGTGGAGACATGTTGGTTCTAAAGATAATCCAGCGGATGATGCATCGAGGGGTCTGAATGTCTCTGACTTTTTGAAGAAAACCACGTGGCTTGAAGGTTCTTTATTTCTTTGGCAGCAGGAGGAAGATTGGCCTAAACCTGTGATTGAATTGTCGTTGGACTTAAATGACCCAGAGGTGAGGAAAGAGACTACAGCAAATGCCATCAACGCTTGTGCCGTGTCTAGTCCTACTGACCAGCTCATTGCCTACTTTTCTGACTGGAGGAGGCTGGAGACAGCAGTTGCTTGGTTCCTCAGATTAAAGGTCATGTTGTTGAACACACCTTTACTGGCGCGCTCTTCTTTGCGTGTCGTCATGGACATTCTCTCGTATTTCTCAGACGCCCGCACTTCACCTGTGGTCGTGGTGCCTCAGAGCCACAGGGGGGTGATGCTCATGCACGCTCATTACTCACCTTACAAAAGCCACAAAGGGTTCAGTGCAACACACAGTGAACTTAAACAAGTAGCATATTGGCCAAACATGCAAAAAGATGTAGCAGACTACATCAAAACCTGTAAGGTTTGCTGCCAGTCTCAACCAGCAAAACCATCACACAGAGCCTCCTTACAACGGAGAGGCATTTCTTCTCCCTTGTCAAACCCACAATTTGACAAGAGGGAACCCCTAACTGAACCAGCCAGAGGAAATAAACATGTCCTCACAGGCCAAAATAATTTAGACAACAGCACACAAAGATGCAAAGTCTATAATGACCAAAACGCATCTCACAACAAGCTCCGAAGGGGGGACAGAGTTTGTCATCACATCTTTGCCCCACTAAGGAAACAGGACGGCCAGAGAACAGGAAGACTTGCACACAAGTTCTCTCCCCACTGGACCGATCCTTCTGTGGTCACAGACAAACATTCACCTGTTCTGGACCAAATCAAGTTTCACAAAAATCCCATGGGATTGTCGGGAACGATAACGTCCTAATAAATTAATAATTAACAGAAATCCTCAGTAGCTGCTAGTGGTTTAAAAAGGTCATATTAGAGTTCTCGTGCGTGCCTTGGTAGTGGGACAACGGTGTGGATTTGTGCATTTTTATTAATAAATGCACATATTACAATGCCCTAAGAGTTTGACCAGCGCAACAGGCCTTTGTTCGCTTGAAGCTAACAACAATGCAATTTCAACAATGCATCTTAATTTGTTCAGTACTGTTACATTTGAATACATTTATTTATTCTGCATGTAATTTGTGATTGCATTTCCTTTGTAGTTTATTCTTGTAATGTCGTGATAGAGATCCTAAATTTCATTCATAATGGTCTTAAAACGTCTAAAATTTGACCAGGGTAAACCTGCAGAAACCCTGGCTAGCTTGGACTAGCAAGTGAAGAGCTGTTTATTTTTATGTTAGGTCACTACGCTCACAAACAACGATTTAGACCTGCATCATTTGTTTTTGCTTTAAAATAAGCAAAATAAGCTTGTGTTGACTCTGTGGCCCTTCAGTTTTTCAGGAGTTTTTGAATTGGTAAATAAGACAGAAAAATGTAATATTTCAGAACTGAATTTAAAAGAACAGATCAATGGAAATTGACTGTAAATTAAAACATTTTAAGGAGTTTGAATTCTAAAGGGAAATGCATTACAGTGTTTTGGTACACTATTTTATACTGTTTTATTATAAAAGTAAAATATTTGTTTTTCATGTAACTAAATTCTTTATTATTTGTAATTCAGCTACAGGCAGCCTGATTTGGTCTCCCATAACATAAAAAGAGCCTAAGTCCCTCCTTTCTGGAGGATCACCATGTTCGTTTACCATTTAGAGGGCTGTAATGCCATTATAAAACAATTATTGATGCATCTTTTTCTTATTCTATACAGGATTTCTGGATAGTTTTAAACATTTTATTTGCATATTAAAATCCAAAAGAAAGGTCTCTTCATTAGCTAAAAATGACTATTTTGCGACCCTGATGTGCCTTACGAACCTCAGGTCCTCCATTGTTACCACTGTCCTTTCTTCAACAACCAGTTGTCAGACTTCTTTGAAAACTCAAGATGTGCAGGATGTGTACAGGACATAGCTGTACACCAGTTTAATCTAAGGTTGTAACTGATGTTCCCAACCCTAGACAAGGAGGTAGTACTGACATGTAGCTAATTAACATTACTTTGTCACTAATTTAACTAATGTTACATAACAGCCAAAACGTGCTGTAACAGGGGAGATGTCTGATAGTGCTAACTGCCTTTACTTTTCCAGCAGTACCGTTTGACCACCCTGGAACTGACCAGTCTGACATTGGTGTTGCCAATAACCAGGATTTGTGTATCTACTGGGATGATGTTGCAGAGCGTTCCCATCAGTAATAATAAGAATGTAGCTGTTGAATAATATTTTAAATGCCCATGTCTCTGTCAGTAAGTTAATAGTTAATGTGTGTGTGTCTGTCTCTCTGTTTTTCCCCCCATCATGATCCAGATGTTTCAGGAATGAAAAGTTTCCTGCCAAAAGATCTTCAGAGGCAGTGAGTATTTATGGCATTTGACATAAAGACAATGAATGGATAGCATGTACACTAGTAGCCTAACTAAACCATGACTGAGAGACTGGAAAATTATTTAATTATTTCTTGGAGGCTTTTTGTTAATTACCTTTTAAGACCACCGTGTCCGCGTCTTTAACGTAAAACAACAAGCTGTAACAATAGCCAGTTACGGTCAGTGCTGCTGTGCACCCCATGTGTGTAACATTCAGTGTGACCAGCAGAAAATCGGACATTTGTTACTGTTCACCAGTCATGGTGAAGATGAAAATGGCCAATTCTGGTCCCAGCCGATCAATCGGTGCATCCCTAAAAATGTGTGCCTATGATGAGTCCCATCACGTCCATTTATTGTCTTGACTGGGCCCCACAGAGTTTGCAGCTGGAGTTTTATTTTGTGCAAGCATACATGAACAAATGTTCACATGTGACATGGTTATCTTTTATTAGCTATAGTTGATAAACACTATTGTTTTCATTTATTAACACAATAAATAGTTATATTTCACTCTCACTTTTGCTACTTTTACTTGCTGACATCAAACTTGGAGATGAAAGAACACAAGCTTACCAGGCAAGGTTGAACGTTACCTGATTGGGCAAGTGTGTCAAATATGTACTTGCACAAAGTAAATTTTTACTTGCCCCTATACAATATTTTTTATTTATAAGCAGCTATCAAATAACAGGACTTAAGTTAATAATTGTGGAGCGCTAACTAAACACTTAACTAAACAAAAAAGTGCTGTGTGACACTAGTTTCTATGTGTGCTGCTACTACAACCTAACCTTCGCTAAGCCATGCCCTGAATACAGAGCTGGCCAATCACAGCGCAGTAGGACTCGCTCTAACCATAGACTGTATATAAGAAATGCACGTGACGTCATCTGTTGGTTTGTGGACCGCCGTTTTGAAGCCTCAAGTATGGCCGATAGGGCGCCCCATGTTGAGTTTTTGCAACCAGGAAGTGTGATGATACGGAGGTGCTAACAGCTGTATGCGGAGCTAGCTAGGTGCTTAGCTAGGTGCGTCTGTAATTAACTGTCATGATAACTTTGTCTAGAGAACTACAGTCTTAAATCTAAATGTACTCACCAGAGAAAGTGAACAGCCGACTCCTAATAAGCTTTTTCAACAGTGCTGGTTAAATTTATACAGAGCCGAGGGTACGAGTCACTCTAGCCTGATGACAGGTCACTATGGTAATGTCCATCAAGCCCTGAAACATACTCTTTCTGGTCTATTTTAAAACAAATGGGACCATAATTTACTAAATGAACATCATGCTGTGTTGAAGAAGACTTGAAAGAGACTGAGACCATAAAATCATCAGGAAAGTGTTTACTGAGGGAATAAATCAGCTGACAAGTAGAAACATTTCTACTAATCGACTAATCTGCCGATTAATTTAATGATTATTCGACTAATCGTTTAGTCTATAAAATGTCAAGAAATTGTGAAAAATGCTCATCACAATTTTCCAGCGCACATAGTGACGTCTTCACATTGTTTAATTTGTCCAACCAATAGTCCTAAACCCAAAGACTTTTCATTTACAACCATAAATGACAAAAAATAGCAGCAACTCCTTACATTAACAAGATAAAACTTAAAAAATTACTGAAATGATTATCAATCATTTTCTTTTGCCAGACTAACCGTTGCAGCTCTACAGTGTATCGCAATCACAATGTTGTCCATAATAATCGGGGTATATTTCGTTTGTTTTACATATTTATATGATAAGCCAGAGATGTTACATATGGCCCAAAACCGTTATGCACAGTATGTGTAAATGCTAGTAATCATAAGAAACTTGCTTCCATTTTTTTTAGATCAAGCATTGGAGCAAGGTTTACAGGTGGAGAACAGCGAGAAAAGTCCATCACTAGTAAGTATCAACTACAACATATAGGACAAAGTTTCTCTGATGTTTTTTATTTTTAAATGGATTAATCTAGTGATTATTCTAAAGATAATTATTTTATAACTCAATTAATAAAACATTTAATATATCCCAAATCAATATAAAATTATCTGCCATTCTATATCTTATTTAAAAAGTTACTCATAAAAGCATATTATAAAAATGATAGTAGCATATTTTAAAATTAATCTAATTTTCAAGTCAAACCCTAACAAACCCTATTTGTCGGATGCCTGATCATAAAAATACTGGACGTCAAATTCAAAAGGATTGCTGTGACACAGAGAAATTTAAACAATTTAAGTCTTTCCCTGAACAAGTGAGTCAGTATTTTTACTGACGTATTTGACTAAAAACTTGACATTTCTGTCTAGGGGTGTGCAATATGTTTCGTCTCTGATAATAAATCGTACATTTTAAAAGCACCACATTGTTGAGTCTCTGTCTAAAATACATACAGATTTTAAATGGTACATTCACAGTGCAGGCTTAATGCTCAATTTGGATTTATTGCCCAGATTTATTTTTTAATTGACTGTTCATAATTTTTTTAATGTGGCCCATATTAGACCTCAATGTGAACTGGCCATGGCCTGAAAGTGACCCGCAGCGCAAAAAAATAATGTGACGTCACACACAGCACGTAGTACAGAAGTAAACATGGAGGAAGTTAGCAACAGTTTTTTGATTGATGTGTAAGAAAGTGAATTGGTGAGCAAGGGCCAGAATAATTTTTTTTATTAAGTCGCTTATACCTAAGGACATTTTGGCTTTTGCAATTTTGATTTTATTGCCATTTGAGTGTGTTTATGCAATGGCTGATTTTTGTGTGGAAAATACACTTTTGACAAAGTGCTGTGGAGCTTCCTCCGCTGGAGTTCCGTGTGCATCGTGGGACTTGTAGTTCCAGTATTCCTAGAGCGTCGTGTTGAGAATGAGAGCCCCCTCTGAACTACAAGCCACACAGAATTGGAAGTGTGGAAATCCACTACAGCTTTTTATTACCATACCAGATACATTTATGTAGGCATTTAGGCTACAATAAAATGCCTATTTAGCCTATCATTTATTCATCCTGATCATAAAATGACCTAAAAATGTTTGTTTAATGTGCATGTATTCTCCATACTGTAGCCTGTGTTTGAGTTTATTATGTATAGGATAAGTAAGCACACCTTGAGAAATGTACAATCCAGAGTCAAGTTCCTCATATGCGCACACGCAGATGGCAAATAAAGCTGATACTGATCGCAACCAAATATTGTTGCATTTTCTAGGCATACCATTGAACGTTTTACTTTCTAAAAACACAGGATATTACATTAGCTATTTTGCTCTAGAAATAAATCACAAAATGTTAACTTTGAACAAGAACAATTTTATTAACACAATTTAGGCTAGAACAACATTTAGAACGTGTGGATGGGGGCTGTAGTGTGTGTGTGTGTGTGTGTCTGTGATTGTGAGGGG